AATCGAGGACTACCTGTATTTGCTGGGACACAAGAAATTGTAGAGACCAGCAATACCTGATGTCCTACACTACTAGCCCCGTTTCATGTAAATGATGATACAAATGATTCAGCAGAAATTCACTACTTCTTTACTATTTATTACCTTTGGTTTATACAGGTAATCCTCAACCTACGACCATAATGGAGCCCTAAATTTATGTTGCTAAGTGAGAAATGTCTTAAGTGAGTTTCACTTTTTTCGCCACGTTAAGTGAACCAACAACAAGTTAAGTTGTTAAATTAGTAACACAATTGTGAAGAGAATCTGGTTTCCCCCCCTTGATTTCACTTGTCAGAAGGTCACAAAAGAGGACCACGTAACTCCAGGACACTGCAACGGTCATAAATGTGAATCAGTTGTCAAGAGGCCAAATGTAAATCACGTAAGCACGGGGATGCCGCAATGGTTGCAAAAGTATGAAAAATAGCCGTGAGTCACTTTTTTCAGGGATGTTGTAACTTCGAACTGTCACTAAACGAACTGTTGCAAGTTGAGGGCTACCTGTATTATGCTTTCCATGCACCTGAATACTGTTAGTCTAGAGTAGATCTTCACACTCTTGTCTGCTTTGTGTCCAAGATCCCAACTCTGCCCAAAAGCCAACGCCAACAGCCTGTCTTGATTTACAACCCAACCCAATCCATCCCAAAGGCTGGGTTTCGATTCGAGGGCTAAAAAACCCAAAACTAATTAGCGTCCAATACTGAATGAAATTTATATCTCACAGCAGCCCCCACTTCCCTTTTTTCATTCCCAGATCACCCGCGATCAGAAAGTCCCTGCCTGTTTTATGAATCTGGATCCCTTTCTCCAAAAAATTAAGAGAACGCAAGAGATCGAGCAATTAGGCTCGGTTTCTCGGGAACTGCAAAAGAGGGGCTTTGCAATGCTCCCCCCCCTTCCCGTTTTCTCCCTGTTAAGAGAGCACGAGAAGGTCCGCTCGCCTCTCCCGCCCACCCCGTTGAGGGGGCGCCAGTCTAAAGAATCAGCGAGCGAGGCGGCCGCTTCGCTGACCGGCTCCTTTCTTTTCCGCCGCAGTTTCCGACCGAATCTTTCTTGCTGAGGGACGCCGCCGCGGAGGAGTATCTAGGCGCACCTTACAAGTGGCGAACGAAGCCGAGTCGTGGAAGGCGGACTGATTGGGAGGTGACATGGCGGCCCCCGAGAGGAAGCTGCCCAGGGCTGTAAGTAGCGGTCCTCCGCTCTGAAGGCAGAGAGAGCAGCAGGGGCAGCGAGAGGTTTCGCCCCGGGGCGGTGCTCCGCTACGCTGATTGGTCCGGCAAAGAAAACCTTCCCGGGCATCGTAGCTGGATGCGTTTTCAGAATATTCGATCGAATTTAAAAACTGGGTTATATAGGAGGACGGTGAATTGCTGGGATACTGCAGGTAGTCCTCGACTTACGACCACAATGGAGCCCAAAAATGTCTGCTGCTAAGCGAGACATTGGTTAAGTGAGTTTTGCCCCATTTTCTGGCCAAGGTTGTTAAGTGAATCGTTGCAGGGGTTGTTAGTAACACGGTGGTTAAGTGAACCTGGCTTCCCCATTGACTTTGTTAGTCAGAAGGTCGCGAAAGGTGGATTACATGACCCCGGGACACTGCAACTGTCATAAATATGAGTCAGTTGCCAAGTGTCTGAATTTTGATCTCATGACCATGGAAGGAATGCTGCAATGGTCGTTAAGTGTGAAAAATGGTCATAAGTCACTTTTTTCAGTGCCGTAACTTTGAATGGTCACTCAATGAACTGAGGACTACGTATATTTGCGTTTCTTTAGTCTGAAGACTGAGTGTGAGAATGTTACTCCCATAGTTCCAAAAAGGTGCTTTTTTCAAAAGGTAATTGGACTTTGTTTTTCCTTGAAGACTTTTTGCTTCTCATTCAAGAAGCTTCTTCAGTTCAGATGAGAAGCGAAACATCTTCAAGGAAAAATAAAGTCCAGTTGCCTTTTAGGACAACCATGACCTGGATGACTGCGAATCTCCATGGAGAATCTCCAGAGCGTTTATCGCAGTGTTAAAATCATATCTATGATTTCTGTGGACCTCATCCCATATTGAACACATTCCTAATGGGGTATGCATAAGTGCACTAATGTGCCTACCACCCCTGTCACATTTTATTTTTTTAATTTGTAATTTTTGTTTGATGAATAAATAATTTTATTGTGAAGTGTACATCAGCCAGGAGTAGGAATGTACAGTATGTGTTGTGCTTGAATGGAGTTTACTAGATGGTAGCTCATCAATAATCTATATGCTGAGGTGATTATTAAATTCAGTAAGTGCATTTCATTTTATAGGGGTTCCACATTTTAGGATATCATAGTATCATTTCTAAGCCTAGGCAAGCTTAGAGATGAATCAAAACTAAAGACGATGCATTGAAATTTTGCAAATGGCATGGCTCTTATTGCTTCACATTACAGTTCACCTCTCAATTTTTTTTTAAAGTGCATTCATATGAATCATAAAACCATATCACAATTGTATAGCCAAGGTGAGCGTATTCCTCCATTTACAGTCAATTCAGCCACTGTACAGGCTCTGTCATAGCTCTCTTTTTCTGTTTATTTTATGCCAAAGTAAGTTAATGTTTCATTACATGCAGGAAATCTCCCAGCTACTGGCTTCCCAAAATATACCTTACACACAAGGGAGTAGATCTCAGAAAGCAATTAGGGCAAAGGCTCTGCCTCACCTGAATGTGATAGTTGCAATCCAAATCATAGTTCATATATTAAAATTGTGCAGTTTAATCATAATAAATCCTTCTTGAAGCTTTGTGTTAAAAGTGGGGGGAAAAGTGTGCTTGTCTTGAACATTGGGGATACAATTTGCATAATTTTAGCACATCAACATTCAATCAAATGCAGAACTAAAGTGATATGAACTTATTATATACAGAACTATGTGAAATCACAGCTGCCAATTGTTTAGCTGGTATTGGCCTTCATACCTATGGAATTCTTCCCAAGAATTTAGGATGTCGTAATGTATTGGCGTAATATATGTGTGGATCCAAACAATGTGTCTTTTTGTAATGGATAAATGGAAAATTTGTGCAGATCTTTTATGCGCTGTCCAAGATTTTTTTGGTATGACATCCAGTGAACCAATAACCACTGGGACGTCCATGATTGGTTTATGCCATAATCTTTCAATTTCAATTTTCAGATTTTGATACTTTTTGATATTTTTCATTTTTTTTTCTATTCTACTACGCCCTAGTATTGCCACATCAATTATCCACATATTCTTCTTTTCAAACACAGTTCGATGTGATGTGTTATATATGCACCAAGTCTTTATTAGTTTCTTTTTGGAATTCCCATGTAGTTTTAACCTGGTCATTTTTGACTACTTTTTCAACTATTTGATCCCTAAATCTTCCCCCTTTTCAACTATTTGGCCTAAATCTTCCCCCTTTTTAAATGTGGAAATTTTAAATTTTTAAATTTTAAATTCGTCTTTTTATAGGGGTATGGGTAAGGCATTTTAAATTGGGGAGCCATTTTAGATTTAATTCTGTTTTAAACGTATTTTAATTGTTTATATTGTATGTTTTTAACTTTGGCTGTTCACCGCCCCGAGTCCTTCGGGAGAGGGGGCGGTATAAAAATCTAATAAATAAATAAATAAAATAAATAAATCCCACCAATTTTTCATTACTGGCCCATTATCATTTTTACAGATGTTTTAGTGAATCATTTTGGCTACAGTGTTATGTCACTGTTGATAAACAGTTTATTTTTGGTCATACAGTCAGTATAGCTTCTTCACTGTCCTTCAGATATTATTCCAATGCTCTTTTTTCTTTTTCAATTCTCTGGTGTACATGCAAAATTCCACCCCCATTTATACTCCTTGGTAAATAGAGTCTGTTAATATCGTTAAGAGCATGATTTATTTTCATAATTTTTCTGGTCTTCCTATCCAGGTGTTTTAGGTCTGCTTGAGTTCAGTCTGCTATTACAGCAGTGCATCTAATGACTAGAACTGCTCAGGTGTTAATTGCCTTGGTGGTATTTCTTCCACTGAATTTGGACTAAATTTTTTCTTCACTGTTCTGATATATATCACTGTTAACCTTCTTCTTGACTTCAGTATAAAGAAGGATGCCCAGGTATTTGGAGCAATGGTCTTCATCCAGACTCCTGATGTTATTTCCATGGAGTACTTTGATTCCTTCAGTTTTCACTATTTTTCCCCTGTTGATAATGAGGGTGACACATTTATTCAGTCCAAACACCATTGCAGTATCTTGACTTTATATGTGGACAGTTTTGAGCAGTGATACTATTTCAGATGGTGTTTTCCCATACATCTTCAGATTGTCCATGTGAAGGAGGTGGGATAGATTGGAAGATGTTTTTGATGTTTCATAGCCATGACTTGACTTGTTCACTAGTGTTGATGGAGGAATCAGTGCAATGACAAACAGCAGTAGTGATATTGAGTCTCTTGAAAGATTCCTCCCTTGATGTTAATGTCTCTCAGTCTATCACCATTGACCAAAAGCTATGTCTTCCATTGTACCATTCATTTTTGCACCAAGATTCTGATGTTTCTGTTCACTCTTATTTACCCATCAATCGTATTTATAGGCACTTCATTATCCAGTCATGTTGCAGGGAATCAAATGTCTTCTTGTAATTAGTCAAAGTTGGTCTTTGAAGTTGGTCTTCCTTCTCTTACAAAGTTTTCCAAAATGATGTTGTCAGTTAGGAGCTGATATGTGCAGTTTCCTTTCAGCTCAGACCGAAAGAGCTTGTTTTCAGTTAGATGCTATTAGACTGCATCAGCTAACACACCAGTTAGCAATTTGAAAGTTGTTGGTAATCAAGTGTTTGGTCTATAGTTGCCTGATGCTTTCCTTTTTTGGAGATCATTATTATTTACTTAAATAGCTTTTCTTTCCAAAGAGTCCTTACCCATGTATTATCATTTTACTTTTATTTTATTTTTTATTTCAATTTTTAAAATAGAGTTAATAGATTGCTCTCCATCAAACTGTTCAATCTAGTCAGAAAAGTAGTTTTATGGCAGTTATAGTTTTTATGTCACTTTTAACTGTAGATAACTCTTTTGTCTGGTTTTGAATTTGTAACTACTAAGGCAGATAAGAAAATAACTTGTGTGCATAATTTGAAAGGCTGAAGAAACTGTCTATTTTGGTCCATCTTTGCAATCTGTTGTATGCATGGTGATAATGACCCATTAGATAATGTTTATGGCTAGTAAATGTGTTTGTCCTCATCATAAATCTATCCCAGTATCATAAACGTTGCAGATAAAATATCATTTTGATAGTTTGCCATTGTTGGTTGAAAACCTGTTCTAAAGTAAATTGCAAGAGGAAGACAATTTTTTAATCAGAGAATTAGAAAACATTCATGGCCCTTCCATGTTCTTTGTTAGTTGTCAAGGTTCCAAAACCTCCGTTAGAAACTGGTTGCCAATTCCAATTGCTGTGATATCACCCGTGTATTCAAAGTACATCAGCGTGGAATAACTAATATGTCTGTTTTCTACAATCAGTTATAAACGTTAGTGATTAGAAATGCCACTTTTACCCATAAATATGCAAAGTAAGTTTGGAAAAATTATATACTTTTACAATTGCAAAAGGAATGTCTGACATTTTTGAAATCACTCTTGAAAGTTGAATTACAGAAAATGACATTGGTAGAAGGAAGAAAGCTCCTTTTCTCATAAACAAAACTGAAGTTGGATGCTAAAGTATTTGTAAGAAAGGGATATTATGCAATCCTTAAAAACACCCTATTTAATAAATCCCATATTTTCTGGCTGATTTTTTTCCCCCTCGTGAACTTAAATCAGGGTTATAGGCCTTGCTAAAGAAGAACCGTAACCACTCGGGTGAAAGAGGAAATTGGAAATAAATTTTAGAATCCTGCCCTTTGGTGCCTTGTTGTCTGATGCATAGCATGGAATGGTCTTTTTTATACTTTGGTAAGTAAGGCTAAAGTATAACTTCGTCAATTATACTTTTTCTTAGAGTTTTTTTGCTGAACAAACTTCGGTCAGTCACACAACTGTTAGGACCTTGGGATCTGAAGAAGTCATGGGTGGACTTTTTAAATTGTTCCCAATACACAGAATACATTTGGGCATGCAGTTTGTCCTGGGCAAAAATGTGAGCGATTTGAGTGGCTGCCTTGAAAGTTGTTTTATAACATGCCCTTGACTTGTGACCAATCACTTAATGACCATTTGAAGTTACCATGGTACTTACAATCCAGTTCCAAAGTTCCAGTGGCCACCCCCACTCCACGATCCATTTTGAATGCTCAACCGGCCTGCATTTATGGCCATTTTCAATGTCCACAATTAATCACAATGATCAATTTACGCCCCATCCCCCCAAAAACCCGGCATTTATTTCCGGTTTTCAGCAAAAATACCCAGAGCAAATAATGAATTCATTTAACGACCGCAGATTCACATAATGACCGTGGGGATTCGCTGCAACAATTACTGCAAAATTCACAAAATGGGGGTTGATCATGTGATGACCTGCTTTAAGACCATCGTGACTTATGACCCGTCATGAATAGGTTTCCTTCTGAACATAAGTCGAGGACTACCTGTACATATTGCTTGGAGTGGGAGGCCTCATTGTAGAAACCTGCAGCCATTGCAGTGGTCCCAGATTTTTTTTTCTACCCCTCTGCTCTGGAAAAGAAGAGGAAAGAGGAGTAGAAAAACAAGTAACCCTTTGTTAGTCTACTCCAGGGGTGGGCAGTCATGGCAAATTTATGGCCCGTGGACTTCAACTCCCAGAATTCCTGACCCAGGAATTATGGGAATTGAAGTCCACAGATCATAAAGTTGTTCTAGTTGCCCACCTCGGTCTACTCTATGAGCCCTCCTCTCATTTTGATCTGAAGGGATATATGATCTCTCTGAAGAGAGAGAAGTACAGACAGTCCTCGATTTACGACCACAATTGAGCCCAACATTTCTGTTCCTAAGCGAGACAGTTATTACGTGAATTTTGCCCCATTTTACAACTTTTCACTTACAACGTTGTTAAGTGAATCACTGTTAAATTAGTAACACGGTTGTTCAGTGAACCTGGCTTCTCTGTTGACTTTGCTTGTCAAATGGTCATAAAACATGACCCCGGGACACTGGAAGCGCCATAAATATGAGTCAATTTGCCACGCGTCTGAATTTAGATCACGTGACCATGGGGATGCTGCAATGGTCATTAGTGTGAAAAATGGTCATAAGTTCCTTTTTTCAGTGCTGTTGTAACTTTGAATGGTCACTGAATGAACTGTTGTAAGTCGAGAACTGCCCGTACATGCAGACAGAGATTCCTAGCCACTCCTGCTATAAAGTTATTCTTCTTCACTGTTTTGTACATTGAAGTTTATGATTGCAGATTATGGATTTTTGCATATCTGAGAAGAAGGATAGAGAGAAATCTTCTGATGTTTCCCGTTGTTGAGCCCAAGTCTTTGTTTATGAAGCCAGTAGCCAATTTCTTTCTTTCTTTTTTTTTTGTCATTTCATGTTTCCCCCCCACAAAATATGTTTCTGGTTATTTCAGTTTGGAAATTGCCCTTTGAAGCCAGTGTCTTATAATCCATAAATTTACTAGAATCCATGTTGTACGTTTTTTCCTCCAGATACTTGGCCATGGAGACTATGACTCTGATTTTAGCGATGATGAAACAGTGGAGAAATCTTGCCAGCAGAAAAATAGGTAACATATTGCTCTGGTAGCGTTATAATTTCTATGTGTGCATATAGCAGACTTTTCTTTTTTTAAACTTAAGTGTGAACAGAGTATCTTGTTTCGAAACAACAGTAAAAAAAAGTACTGTGCATCCATTTCGTGGCTGTTTGCCATCCTATTCCTTGTATAGGTAGTCCTTGAGTTATGATTATAATTGAGCCCAGAATTTACGTAACTGCTGTGGTTTTCGGAGTATAAGACGCACTTTCCTTTTTTGGTGAGGAAAAGAAGAAAAAGAAATCTCCCTCTGCCTCTGAGCAATTTTGCCTCATTGCAGCAAACAGTAAACAGCCTGCTTTACTTTCATTTTCGTTTTCAGCATAGCTGGAGCACATCTGCTCCAGCAATTTACCTCTTTGCAGCAAGCAGCAGAGGCCCTCGCAAAACAGCTGCGAGTCGGGAGGCCGATCCAATCAACTTGTGCTAATTAGGCTGTGCTGAAGTTGAAAGGAGCTGTTTTTACTTGCTGTTTGCTTGCAAGGAGGTAACTGCTGTGAGGCAGAGGCCAAAGGGTGGGGGCCAGTGGGTGGTCTACATTTGGTGTATAAGACTCACCTAAATTTTCACCCCCTTTTGGGGGGGGGGAAAGGTGCGTCTTATACTCCGAAAAATACGGTAAGTGGGAAATTTGTTAAGTGAGTTTTGCCCCATTTTACTGTTTTTTCTTGCCACAGTTGTTAAGTGAATCACTGCACTTGTTAAATTAATAATATGGTTGTTAAGTAAATCTGGTTTCCCCATTGACTTTGCTTGTCAGAACGTCGTGAAAGGGGATCCATGACCCCGAGACACTGCAACGCTCATAAATACGATTTTTCCAGCATCCAAATGTAAATTGTGTGATCATGGGAATGCTGCAATGGTCATAAAGTGTGAAAAACGGTCATAAGACACCTTTTTCAGTGCCATTGTCGCTTGGAACGGACACTAAATGAACTGTTGTAAGGACTACCTGCAGTTCTGGGCTTCAGCTCGGAAGACGCAGAGCCCCACTAAAGGCTGGCTAGTGATCCCCTGCTACATTGAGCAACAGGTGGCCCTCAAGTTACGACAGTTCATTTAGCTACCAAAGTGAATGACGGTGCTGAAAAAAGTGATTTACGATCAGTCATCACTTAACTATTGCAGTCTAGCTTGGCAACTGGGTCACATTTACAACAGTTGCAGCTTCCAGGGGGTCATGTAATCACCACATGCAACCTTACAGCCAGCTTTTGACAAGGGGAATCAGTGGGGAAGCCGGCATGTGATGTCTCATTTAATGATCATGGAAAAAAAACTTGTAAGATCTGGTACGGTCCTGTAATGCATTGCTTAATGAGCGCATCGCTTAACAACAAATTTTGCGGTCCCAATTGTAGTCATAAGTCGAAGGTTATCTGTACTGAACAAGAAATCAAAGGAAGTCGAGGTTAGGAAGTTGAGGGCAAAGATACTTGCTGGAAAGAAATGAAGTGCAACTGTCGCTTATTATTTCTTCTCAACTTGTCCTGTTGAGAAGGAGGGGGAGGTTTGACTGATTACTAGCCATCAAATCCTTTTCAACTCCTAATGACCATATAGATAGATTTTTCTGCCTGAGTGGGAAGTGACATGTGTTGCAATCCTACGCTGATTGATTGGGACTAAAGTTATAAAAAAGGTACATTCATTTATGCTGATTTTTAAAAATTCAAATAACACCAGTATTGAACATGGCATTCAGGACCATTATCTTGGTTGCTTAGAAAATAGACAAAAAGGGAAACCTATAAAAATGGTGAAACAAGAAAATCGCAAAAAAATAAAAAATGGAATCTAAACCAACTCCTCCTGGATGACCATAATATTTTCATTGTGAAAATATTATTATTATTTATTTTATTTTATTCGCCCTTCTCCTAGTGGACTCAGGGCCGTGCACAGCCAGAACTAAAACACATACCAATACAAAATTTAAAATTATTAAAAGAATTACATAACTTTGGCCCAAATTTAAAACAATTCGAATTAAAACCCATTGACAATTTAAAAGCTAAAAGACTAAAAATGGGGGGGGGGGTGTTCACGCCAGCCCTGCTTGATGGAAAAGAAAAGTTTTCAGGGCACGGCAAAAGACCCGGTGATCCGATATCCTTCGTATCTCCGGGGGCAAATCGTTCCAGAGGGCAGGAGCTGCCACAGAGAAGGCCCTCCCCCTGGGGGTCGCCAGCCGACATTGCCTGGCTGACGGCACCCTGAGGAGTCCCTCTCTGTGGGAGTGTACTGGTCAGTGGGAGGCTATCGGTGGCAGAAGGCGGTCCCTAATTATGGTTATCCAGGAGAATATTATGGTTATCAATCTTTTTAAAATATCATTAGAATTTCACTTGCCCTGAAGAGTAAAAAAAACATTCATTACAGCTATGCGGTGCTTTGGATTGAGCAACACAACATACCATTTTAATGCAATTCTTTAGAGTACCCAGTTGGTTTAAAGAGAGGCAGATAAGCACTGCATTCCTGTTCCTATTGGAATGATTCTTATGGGGATTTGAACATAGTGCCAGATATTTCAAGCAGTCTTCCCCAGGGGTGGGCTACTGGGGTTCGCAGGGGTTCGGGAAAACCTCTAGCTAAGATTCTGTGCAGTTCAGAGAACCCCCAAATCTCACTCCTGGCTGGTCCAGCCCAGCCCAGCCTGCCCTGCCCCTCCCAGGAGTCCCCCACGTGGCCTGCCCTGCCCCTCCCAGGAGTCCCCACGTGGCCTGTTTTGGATGCAGGTAAGTACAGGGTGTGTGCGGAGGCTAGGGAAGTGCGAAAAACGGGCCTACCGGAAATTTGGGAAGGCCTCTGGAGCCTGGGGAGGCCATTTTCGCCCTCCCGGAGGTTTGAGGAAAGCCTCCGGAGCCTGGGGAGGGCAAAAAGCCCCCCCCCCGCCGTGGTGCATGAGGCCAACTAGGCCACACCCACCATGGCCACGTTCACCCAGCAACTGGGCAGAGAACCCCTTGCTAAAATTTTTGAAGCCCACCCCTGGTCTTCCCAACCTAATTCCTTCCATTTGCATATGAACGGAATACATGAAATAAACAAGCTTGCTGTAATCTAGAGATTGACATCTAGAAGTTCTAGGATCAGATCTCGCTATTTGAAGAACACCAATTGGCCTCTCAGTTGCTAATCAAGAAAGAAAAAAGAAGTAGCCATTACACTGGGATTTTCTGACTAGGATATTTAAGTCTTGATTCTGACTGATTCATGTGTACCCACTGTTGCCATAATTGAGTCTGTCCACTTTGCTGTTTTTTGTCTTCTTCCCTTCCCTTCTATCTTTCCCAGCATTAGAGCCTTCTCCAGAGAGCTAGATCTTTGCATAATGCAGAGGTGGGAAACTATGGCCCCTTTATGACTTGTGGACTTCAACTCCCAGAATTCTTGAGCCAGCATGGCTGGGTCAGGAATTCTGGGATTTGAAGTCCACAAGTCATAAAAGGGCCATAGTTCCCCATCCCTGGCATAATGGGTTTGAAATATGATCATTTGAATCTGGTCATTTGTGTTTTATGTGGGAACTATGGGTTGATTTGTTCAGTGATCCAAAAGGGTCAATAATCTTCCTATCTGATTTTTCAAAGTCCAATTGTTGCTTTCACAGAGTGCCAGGGAAAAACCAGAGTCTATACAATTTTGTTCTTTGTAGGTATATGAACCCCGGCATCTGAATATGTGTTCCAAGGAAGCTATGATTCTAGTTACCATTCTTGATTCTAGTTATTATCCGAGTATTTTACCATTACTATAGTAATGGTACGTAGTTTTCAAAAGAGAGATTTTAAAAATTATGGTAAATGCAATATCTAAGAAATTCCTTTTTCTTCTCCTTTCTCCCTGCCAACCAGCGAAGATGCAATTCTCAAAAAACCCTTCCAGAAGGAGAAGCAGGACAAGGTGGCCCACAGACAGGTGGCAATGGATGAGTGGGACAGGTACTTCATCACACTAGTGTAACATTGTCAGAATTGCATTAAACATCCAAATTACTGGAATAACATTTTCCTTTTTCTAGGGAAGAAGCCAGAAATAGACGGTTCCATTTAATAGCAATGGATGCCGTATCCTTTGATATTTTAATTAAAAGCAAAAATATACTCTAATATTAAAAAAAAAAAACCTATGTCTGAACACTCTCAAGGTTTTTTTTTTTTTTTTTTTGCATACGGTTTTATTTTTGTCTCTGTGGTTTTCTTCAAGTATGTTTTAAATTATATTTCTTAAGGCAGAGTTCAAGCATGAACAATTTCTGGTTATCTTGATTTTGTGGGAAGGGAGGAAAAACAGGATATCTGGTTAGATTGGTGTTTCTTTTTAAATGAAAAGAAAATAGTAAGGAAACTGAACTGGCGGACACTAAAATTACATTAGAAAATTGTCAAAGATCAGTCTGGAAGATTAATAGGATGCATTTTCATAGCTATGACTTCAATATTTCAAAATATGAAAATGTAATTTAATAAGGAGAAAACTCTCTTCTCTTTGCTACTCACGTATACACAGATTCGTTTATTTAATTATATATCTTAGATGTTCCTTCTCTTTCCTGTACAGTCACAGAGCTATGTTTTCCAAATGTTAATTAAGATGAGCAATTAAAAGAAGGCAAAGAATTGTAACTATGGTTTGTCCATTTCTGAAGCTAACAGTAATACTTACACTGTATGAGCTATGATTAATGTCTATGTATCTCTGTGTGTATGTATTCAAATATATAACAACTGCAGCACTATAAAATGCACATTTATATAATTCTGCAGTGTTTCAGTTTTGATTTAGAATAAATTATTCAAGACACTCAATGTAAATACAGCACCGGTCAGCAACTCTTTAAAGCAGTTGTGGGGGTTTTCCAGGTCTCACAACTACTGCAGGTATCCTTCAGTTTTGATAGAGGTTGTTGTTGTAATAACTGTGTGTAACTTATCATTTCATAATAATCATCATTTTAGAACCTTTCTCTCTTACACCTTGTATTATAGAAATGTTTTGGGGTTAGTTTTTATGAATTGATCTTAAGATGAAGTTGTTACTAGGCAGTCATTAAAAAGAAACATTAATTTTCTTAATTCTGTTAGTATGCAAGACATAAGAAGTTTGTAAATGATTACATTTTATACTACGGTGGTAAGAAAGAAGACTTCAGACGTTCAGGGTAAGTACCGTCTTATTTATAGAACTTTATTTCTAAAAGATAGAAAGGCTGAAATCATTAATAATTGAAGACAAATAGAATCAAAATTTATTTGGCATACGTAAATATTTATAAGATTAAATTATATATGAGTAATTTTTGGATAATTAAAGACTACTTCCTTATTATATTTTACTTATCTTGTTCATGCTGAATAAGTTGATGATAAAAAGTACACTAAGTTCCTATGTAAATAAATGCACACTTTTCCTATCTGGAGATTATAATTTCTATAAGAGGTAGTAATGCTTCAACTAATTCTCAGCAGAGCATTCTATCATATATTTAAGAATTAACTGCAAAATAAGAATTCTTTTAATTATGCCAATTGTGTAATTAGGAACTAAAAATAGAATATAAATATATAAATAGAATATTGTTGAATTGGATCCTATGTTTTGAATTAAAAAGCACACTTCAACTGTATTATCTAGATTAAATGTGGTGGGTAGTATTTCTGCATAAACATTATATTTACTAAAATCAACATTGCTAAGTTATAAAAGAATCTGAGTACAGTTACTGTATCTTGCCATTTATTTTCTGAATCTAGAGAAAATCTGAGAAGCAGTTTGATGCAGTGCAAGGGAGTCTCAGAGATGTGGTTTTTTTGATAAAGAGCTCCTTTTTAGGAAAAAAAAATGATGTGCTAAAGAATCTGACAAAAAGAATGAACAGCTTTTATTACCGGTTTTAATTAAAAACAACTCTTTTGATCATTAGCCCCACTTATTTTTTGTTTTAACAGAGAAAACGATAAAACTGACCTTGATGTTATAAGGGAGAACCACAGGTTTTTGTGGAGAGAAGAGGATGAAGTTGATATGAGCTGGTAACTTCAGTTTTTCTTTATTTCTCTGTCGGGGCAAACCAATTCGCACAACCTCTTTGATCTGGCCCAAGGACAGCCCATTAACCCCTACTGTCTGCTTGTCTCCCCCTGTATCTCAGTATCCCATGACAGGCGAAGGGTGGCTTAAAATGTGGTCATTTAGAAGTGGTGTGTGTTTCCTTATGTCCTACCTCAGAGTTGTCAAACTCAAGGCCTGGGGGCCGGATCCGGCCCGTGGGCTGCTTAGATCTGGCCTGTGAGGCTGCCCTGGAAACAGGGAAGGTTTTGCTGGCAGAGGGTTTCAGGAGGCCATTGCAGCTGAAAACAGCTCGGGAGACCATTTTCCCTGGCAGAGCGCTCGGGCCGCCCCTTACACAAGTGACATCGAGCTGGCCACGCCCACCCTGGCCATGCCCACTCCGTCCCCCTGAGGTCAAACACAACCCTGATGCGGCCCTCAATGAAATCAAGTTTGACATCCCTGTCCTACCTCATATGCTCTGCGCAGATGATGTAGGGACCACTGGTGTGCATTGGGGAAGCAGTCTGAAATGAAATTTCTGTGTGTTGGCTGAAATGATCGATGCCAGCAGTCTTGTGACTCCGGTTGGTTCTCCCGATTTCCTTTGGGATTACTTCCTTCAGACTAATCCCTGACCTCTTTGCTCACCTTCTCAGTCTTCTTTTGGCTGTAAAGCAGATCAGATTAGATCAACCCAAATCTTATTATGGTTATAGACCAGCCTAAAGGCAGATCAGTGTTTCTGCTTTCTGCAGATACTTTTTTTTTTTTTTTAAATGGGTTGGTAAACTGGAGTCTCTAGGCCTTAAAATTGATTAATTTCATTTCAGGTTAAGATATGCAATTGAAAGGATGCTAACTGAGCTTCTGTGGCCTGACTGGCAGGCATTCCTTTCCCAGTACTGCTGCTCCCACAGGGAAAGCTTTAGCTTCTTGTCTCTTCTCGTCACCCTATGTTGTAGGGTATTTTACAGATTCTCCTAACCAGTGGTGAAATTCAATTTTTTTTACTAACGGTTCTGTGGGTGTGCCTTGGTGGGCGTGGTGTGTCTTGGTGGGCGTGGCAGGGGAAGGATACTGCAAAATCTCCATTCCCACCCCACTCTAGGGGAAGGATACTGCAAAATCCCCATTCCCTCCTCACTCCACGGGAAGGATATTACAAAATCTCCATTCCCACCCCACTCTGGGGCCAGCCAGAGGTGGTATTTGCTGGTTCTCTGAACTACTCAAAATTTAGGCTGCCGGTTCTCCAAACTGCTCAAAATTTCTGCTACTGGTTCTGTAGAACCTGTCAGAACCTGCTGGATTTCACCCCTGCTCCTAACTAAGTCTTACCTTTGTCAAGCTCCTAATGTTCAGCAGCACTTAAACAATGCCTACATTTCATCTGCGCAAATCCGAGTGGCCCCTAGGTGGCAGTCAAGAGATATTTAAAAGAAACCTGGTTGCAGTCTACAGTCAACCAGCTGACCCATAATTTCAAGGAAGTAGAAAAATAAAAAAATAATGGGTCAGTGTTCAAAGTTCAAGGCCTTTATTGTCGTTGTACATCACGTATACAATGAAATTGGTTTAGCTTCTAATGGTGCAGTCCATACAAGAATACAAGACAACATTAATCTAAAGAATAATCCTTATACAAGTAATTAGGAGAGAAAAAAAACTAGTCATACATTTCCATATGTACATCATATTCTGTGCAACAGGAAAGAAAAAAAATTGCAGTGCATTGAGTAGCCATAATATTATGTGGGCCAGATAGAGGAGGCCTTTTATATATTGAATGACATAGGATGGGACTGGAGTTTTGCCAATGGAAACAGAAGTCATGGCTCTTAGGATGTTGCCTGTTAAAACTGTTTATGTAGCAATATAGCACAGACCCATTCCAGGCATATGGGGAAAAAAAGCATTATGGATGAATCTGTCTTCATCCCTAAGGCAGGAAAGACTGAAACTGAGACTCTCCCAGTGACTAGCCTAATAATGCTTTAACCACTACACCATGGCTCCCCAACCTCAGGCCATGGCCCACTACCAGGCTTCAGCCTGTTCAGTACTGTGCTGCAAAAGTGAGCATGCACGAAGCTCCATGTGCCTGCTGCTTGCACAAATGGAGCTGCATGCACGCACTCCCCCCGCCGCTTATGGGGAACCATCCCTTCTCATCCCCCCCCCATGCCAATCTACAAAGCCAGAAAGATTGGGGAACACTGCACTAAACTATATTGCCTTTTGTTTTCCCCCAAAAGATAGCATCAGACATTTAGGCAGTGTGAAATAAAACACTCTGTAGCAAAGCATGCTCATGATAAAAGTAAAGTAATAGCAAGCTACTTGAACAATAAATGCCAACCATTTTTAAAATTTTCTGTTGCAACTAATACTTACTGGCAAAATAAACTTGTTAGCGTTTCTGTCTATCCAGTGTTAAAAGCGGAATACCTCTTTTTGTCTGTTTGTATTTTTTCTTCTGTTCAATCAGTCATTCTATCTTTCAGGGAGAAGAGGTTGAGCAAGAAATACTATGATAAATTATTCAAAGAATACTGTATAGCAGATCTGAGAAACTACAAAGAGAACAAGGTAATTTTTAAGTTCTGGCCAAAGGTTTTGAAGATAATTTTAGTTCTTTAGCAAATTGTTTCAGGGAATGGGACAATATAGAGGGTTGTTGTACAAGAGCATTATTGCTTATGGCCAGTGCATGAGAGTCACATATTTGAGGATACTTAACTTATACCTTGCTTTTAGAGATTTTGTTTAGGTAACAAAGCAATGTTGATCTATTTGTTCCCAATGGCTGTTGCAGAACCATAGCAAATGTTTGAGGCAGCTACTATGATAATGTGTAGGTACTATGCTTGGAACTGGCATACTCATGCTTTCTTTGGTCGAACATCTATGGTGCCAACCACGTAGCAGAAAATTCTGTTTCCAAAAGTGGTTCCACAGATTCCTTGTGGTTGTCCTTAAGAAAAGTCACAATGCCATACTTCTCGCTCACAGATGGTCTGCAGCAGTTAAGATTCAGTGAGATTAGCAAATAATGGGCAAGAGGCATTAGCATTAGTTTGATCCAGCACATTTCTTAAGTACAAAACCAGAGAGGAGAATGACATGACTGCATTCCTCTCTTTCATCCTCTTGAAATCAATATATAGAGACTTAAAATTAGCCTTTGGCACAGATGAAAACAGATATAGCCCTGGCTATGAATTTAAATGGTTACAATGCTTCTTAGCAGTTGATCGTTTTCGGAAAACCATTCCAGTGTGATGGATGATTAAAAGGAAATATAGCTGAATGGCCAGCCTGTTGAATCTAAGTCGATATACAGGTAGACCTCAGTTGATGGTGCTCATTCAATGACCATTTAAAATTACAATGGCACTGAACAAGTAGTACTTACGACCGTTCCTTGAAATGCTGGCTGTCATAGAACTCGCACAGCCACCTGATCTCTTCATACTGATGCTTTACATTGACTATCCAAAATTCAGCTGATTAAAAAAAAGCCTAATAAAAGACATGAATAACTTTTTAAAAGCCTACTATAAAGCACAACTGTTATATGTGTTATATTCATTTTTTATTTCTCGCACCTCATTCCTAAATCAACCTATGGAATCACGTGACATTCATTTTCATAATTGATCATTGCTGTTCATTGCTTACTCTAATAAAAAAAATAGTCTTCTAGATATAGAGCAGTGGCAAACCTTTTCCCCACTGAGTGCCGAAAAGGGAGTGTGTGCGCGGATGGCACCAAGTGCTAAAAAGGGAGCACTTCGCGCACGCGCTTGTCTGGGCTGCGAGCAGGAAGAAGAGTTTCCCAGGTGGCATGTGCGCACCGGAAAATGTACTTCTGGTTTCTGGTGCGCACATGTGCGCCAGCTGGCAAGTCTTCCAGTTAGTGCAGTGCATGCGCCAATCAGCTAGCCGGCGCGCATGGTCACACTGGAAAATGGAAGACCAGCTCTTCCGGTTTCTGGCACTGTTGCACGCACAATGGCTAGCTGATCGTCATGTGCGCCAGAAACCCGGAAGAGGAATGAGCAATGCCACGCACTTCGGGCATGCGTGCCATAAGTTCACCATCACGGATATAGAGGCTACTTTTTCCTTCAGTGAATCACATTTCCCTGTGCTTGCTGAATTTGTAAAAGCAAAATGCTAACTCTGTATTTGTAAAATCTTTCCAACAGTTTGGATTTAGATGGAGACACGAGCAAGAAGTTGTGTCAGGAAAAGGCAAGTTTTCTTCTTGTTCCTTATTGAGCCTTGGAGTCTAACTTAGATGAGCAGAATTCTGTTATGGAATGGGTTTTTCTCACCTATCACTGCAGCCTCTTCAGGCTCCCAAAATCTGATGCTTTGAAGGCTGAAGAACTGCAGGTAAAAATGGGTTCCATCTTATGTTTGTTGGCCCTTCCTAACATCAGGTGTTGATCTAGCATCTTCGCAGACTTTTGTAAGTTTTACAAAAATCTATTTCTAGTTTACCAGTTATAGCATTGATTTCAGGCCCCATTGTTGTTAATTGTACAGTAGCCGTCTTATATACCATAATTTAGTCATATAATAATTGATTCTTACTGTTTTGTAAATTGTTATTTTAATGACCTCAGGCTTGCTAAGATTGCTATAGTCATCAAACATCATTGTTATAGAGCAATAATATAGTTTACCACTAAGAGGCATAAGCATGCAAGATTGTTGTGAGATGCAGTTGTAGGTTTTCTTGAATGTATTATTGGAGTTTCTTTGTGTGTGTGTCTATTAGGATATATATACATCCCCACCCTGTGTGTGTGTGTGTGTATAAAGACCTCTAATTTATAACCATTCATTTAGTAATCATTTGAAGTTATAACAGCACTGAAAAAAGTGACTTATGAGCATTTTCACACTTTTTCACACTTATGACTGTTGCAGCATCCCCATGGTCATGTGATCAAAATTTGGGTACTTGGCAACTAGCATTTATGATAGTTGCAGTGTCCCAGGATCATATGATCACCTTTTGAGACCTTCTGGTGAGCAAAGTCAATGGGAAGGCAGATTTACTTAACCGTATTACTGACTTAACAAGTTAGTAGTGATTCACTTAACAACTGTGACAAGAAAGGCTGTTAAATGGGACAAAACTCACTTAAAAACTGTCTTGCCTGTAATGTAAATGGTTATATTAATATTACAATATGATATGCCTCTATTACGATTTGAACTATTTGCCTATTTATAACTTCTAAAAACTAACCCTATAATGTCTGCAAGAACTCTAGTTATTGAGTGGTTTAAATGATAACAAATGTAACTTATAAATAATATAACTTATCCAGTATTGTTAGAAAATTAAATTTACACGATTGAAATATGAATCCATTAAGCTAAATAGTCTTTGTTTTGATAAGATTCTCACTTTAATAACAGGTGGAAACCAGCAATGGAATTTTTCCATTATTAAGTAATGCTAAATGTCAGGTGTTTTGTTTGTTTTTCAAGTAGGTGTTATATTGTTAGGAAATGTGTGTATCTTTGCCACTTCAAATTATTTTCTCATGGGTTAAATGCACAGTTTTGACTACATAGTGATATGTAATTTAATTAGTTTTGCCAATTAAAAGAAGCTAAAATATACAGGTAGTCCTCAACTTAAAATTTCTGTTGTGAAGTGAGACATTTGTTAAGTGAGTTTTGCCCCATTTTACAACCTTTCTTGACACAATTGTTAAGTGAATCACTGCAATTGTTAATTTAATAACTCAGTTGTTAAATGAATCTGGCTTCCCTATTGACTTTGCTTGTCAGAACGTTGCAAAAGGTGATCACATGACCCCAGGATATGGCAACCATCGTAAATATGAGTCAGTTGCCAAGCATCTGAATTTTGATCACATGACCAAGGGGATGCTGCAACACTCATAAGTGTGAAAAACGGTCATAAGCCACTTTTTTTAGTGCTGTTGTAACTTTGAACGGTCACTAAGCAAACTGTGGTAAGTCAAGGACTACCTGTAATGTATGCTACTCAAAAAAGCGGTACATGGTGGGATTGTATTACACTTTTTTGTACAGTAGTGTTGGCCTTAAGGTCATTTAATGGATTTCACAATTGAGCAGTAACCTGTATCTCAGTGTCTCTGGTTTAAACCAATGTACTTCACTATTTAACAGAACAACAGAATGACACAGTTGGAGAATGAAGACCTTGGAGGTCTTCTAGTCCAACCTCCTACTCAGGTAGAAAGTTCTATACCATTTCAGACAAATGGTTGTCCAATCCCTTCTTAAAAATTTCCAGGGTTAGAGCATTCACAACTTCTGGAGGCAAGTTATTCCACTGATTAATTGTTCTAACTGTCAAGAAATTTGTCCTTAGTTCTAGGTTGATTGTCGTTTTGATTAGTTTCCATCCATTGCTTCTTGTCCTACCTGCAGGTGCTTTGCATAATAGGTTGACCCCCTCTTCTTTGTGGCAACCCCGAGATATTGGAACACTGCTGTCATGCCATCCCTAGTCCTTCTTTTCATTAAACTGGACATATCTAATTCCAGCAACCATTCTTTATATGAATGCACGCTGTCCAATTTACAACAGTGTTATCACAATCACACATCACAATACATTAATTTATTTCTGCAGCAACTAATCCTGGCTTGTTTAAAACAACAAGCAATGTTCATGTATTCTGAGCAGCCAGAGAGGAAATAAAAATAAGACACAAAGACCAAATATTTTTATAATTGCCAAATCCTGAAAGTTATTTACATGTCTAGTTGTAGATATTGGTTATTGTGCTAATGCGATACTCCCATGTTATGTTGCATAATTATAGGTGAAAGTTAATCAGTTTTGGGATATTAGCTAAGCTGATCAAAATTCCTTCATACATTCCCACCTCAAAAATGTAACCATAAGTACTTATGTAAACCCATAAGTAAATCCTCTCTGCTGAATTTCCTCAAAGTTGCTTCTAGAGCTGCAGCTGAAGCCATTGCTAGAATTAGGAAGACTGTATTTTTCTAAAAATCATTTGGTTCAGGTTTCTTTCTTCAGTGTTCGCCAATAAATATATGTGGTTGTTCTACTTTGTATGTATCTTATAGCTTTTCACATTAGTATGGGTTGCTATCTGTTAATAATACAACTCATTTGCTGTTGGTTCTTAAAATAAATTATTCCTTTGTAGTTATTGTTGTGGGTAGAAATTCAAAATCTAGGACTTTGATTCAATTTTTTGTTCTTTTTAACAAGAACTGAACGTTGTTTGGTGGGGAAAAGAATGATTTAGTTCTGTACCATTTGGTGTAAGGTTTAGGATTACAATTGGTTTTATGCCGCAGAATGGAAATATCTGAGGGTATTGTCAGTCCAGCTAAGCCGGACAGTCTGAAGTTAATCTTTCAAAAGAAAAAAGAAAAAAGGCTTAGTGATGAGTCTCTTAATACAAATTGGCATCACTCTGAAGGCATCCAGATGAATCCCTCCAAGAGGCCGCATATTGCTTGTACTTTATGTAGCCTTTAAATTCAGAATAACATCTAAGAAATCCAGTAAGAAAAGTAATACTTAGTAGGGCTTGACTGAACTATGCTGTCCCATTTTACACTCATTTTATTAGTGCAGCAAAATTTACACATCACGACAATCTGCTTTTGGGGAAACGCTTGGAGTCATTTTTGAAGATAAATCAAAATACAGCAGGAAGAAAAGTTGAAGAAAAAAAAATCCCTCAGGATTCATCTAGATCAGTGATTCTCCACCTGTTACATGTTATTCATCATCAATCGTTCGGTCAGGGAACCTGAATTTCACACAGATAGAAATAAGGATACTGAGATGTGTTTTTCTGAGAAACATATAGCTAATTCAATTATTATAACTTTATTTCTGGTATTGGACCTGATGACCTAAATAGCCCTTTCCAAGATGATAACATCTATCATTTGATGTAAATGTAATGAATATAGGAACATTTAGTCCAATTTTTACTATTGTGGCTTTAAAATACGAATTAAAATATCCCTTTGGTTAATTAAATGTCAAAGCAGAAAGCAAGTCTAAGAAGGGGCCTGTGCTTTACAAGACCTTTGCTGTTTTGCAATAAGGGGCAATAGCATTTAGAATTATATACCGCTTCACAGTGCTTTACAGCCCTTTCTAAGCGGTTACAGAGTCAGCCTCTTGCCCCCAACAATCTGGCTCCTCATTTTACCGACCTTAGAAGGATGCAAGGCTGAGTCAATCTTGAGCCTGGTGAGATTCGAACTGCCAAATTACAGGCAGCTAGCAGTCAGCAGAAGTAGCCTACAGTACTGTATTCTAACCACTGCACCACCGCGGCTCTGACTTCAAGAAGCTCCAAGGGCAGCTAGAGAAACTGAGGGGCAGGGAATGTTCCCTAAAATACAAAGACAAAGAGAATTCAAATGTTACAAACAGAAATGATTGAAAGCAGACAGGAGTAGTGGTGATTTGGAATGAAAAGCTGTTTCTTTTGAAGTTGTTGCTGTTGTTGGCTGCTTTGCAGGAAGATTGAGACACAACAGTAAAGTAAATGACAAGGCCCAGCTTTCCATGTTTCTTGTCTTTGTTTGCAAGGACTTTTTGGAAGGCATTTGAATGAACATCAGAACCAGAAAGTTTTTTCACCTCAAGCCACAGTAGATGAGGGTCCATTTCAGGTTGAGCACCTAAAAGATCTCGGGCCATGCTTTTAATCACACATCTTTACTTAGATCAAGGGCTGTCCAACCTTGGCAACTTTAAGACCGGTGGACTTCAACTCCCAGAATTCCCCAGCCAACCATGCTGACTGGGGAATTCTAGGAGTTGAAGTCCACTGGTCTTAAACCAAGGTTGGACATCCGTGACTTAGATTATTTCTCTATTACCACATCCAGCTGATTGAGAAGCACTGATCTGGATCATAGTCATAAGTGCCTGTTCGTGCAGATAGAATGTTAAGTTATTATTTTGTGTATGTTTTAATATGCTAATTTCTGATAAACTACATTGTAAGCTACATTGTATTCATGGCAATTATGTTTCTCTAAGCAAATAATTATGGAGAATTTAAGAGTGCTTCCAGACAAGACTTATTTTGTATAAAATATCCCATCTCACAGAAATTCCAACAACCTTAGAACAACAGATAAAAATGTGTTAAGGTGAAAAAGTTAAATGAATTGACAATATATTTTTATTTATAGTGCTGGAAGCTATCCAGAAACACCTGTGAAACAGGCTCATCCGCATTTTTTATAACTAACTGTAAATAATATAAAGCCTTTTATTTCTAATTCTTTTTTCTTTCCCCAGTTATGCAAAATACCAAAGAGATCAGACTAAAGTGTATGCATATGAGTGTATCAATGTTAGTTTTTTCTCTGTTATTAATGCTTTGTAGCATTTAATAAATACAATATCCTTAAATAATATCCTTAAATATAATACCCTTAAAATCTGAGCAAGTTATTTACTTGTAAATATTGCATCATGTACAAATTCTTACGATCTTGTTAATTTAATGTTCTGATCAATTTCTCTCCAGGGCAATTTTCTTGTGGAAGCAAACATTGTGATGAAAAAGAAGGCTTAAAGAGCTGGGAGGTGAATTTTGGTTATGTTGAACATGGGCAAAAGAAAAACGCACTTGTTAAATTAAGTAAGTCTGTCATGTAGTCAATATTTATTTCCTTTTCAATGGATCTTAAATAATCTTAATGTTAAAAATAACATTAGGAATTTTAAAAATGTAGGTGAAGGGAAATTTAACGACAACATATCCAAAAGAAAGTACAGTTAGGTCCACTTATAATCTATGATAGATTGACAGGTAATTTCTGGTGCATCAGTTGCACCCCCCATGTGGCTCAAACTGCTACTTTTTCCTGATCTGTAGGAGAATGAAGGACATCAGGAAGGTTAATTAGCCAGCTGACTTTCAGCCATCACACAATTCAAGCAGATACACAACCGTTCTGACCAAAGGTGATTTAAGAATCTTGATTCCATGTTATAAATTAGCATTAGGGAATATTTTTTTCTCCTATAGAGATTTGCATTGTTTAATTCAATTTATTGATTTATTTCAATTTGAGTTATTTAGTTAGCCCATAGAAATGCAAAGTGAAATTTTACATATGGCAATCCCAAAGTATAAAAATAACATTTATATATGTGTATGTGTGCCTTCAAGTCAGGGTTACTACTACATTCATATCGAGAGCACCAAAGTGCTTCTGGGTTGAAAGGATTGAATGTGACATCACCATTGCCCAGGGACGCAGTTGGGCTCCTTTGATGGCCCCAATAAATGCCCACCAAAGTGGTATCCATCTATCTAGTCGCAGTTGCCCTCTACTTGCAGTTGCCACTTTCAAATGGCTGGGTCAACAGCTGGAGCATGTGAGGGAGCTCACCTCAACCATGAGGCAGTAACTGGGTCTTGAACGCGAGCCTGTTGATCGTCAGCCCAACATCCTAGCCTAGTGAGCCGCCATGCTCCAATAAGTCAATGTTGACTCCTGACAACACCCTGGAGAAGCCAGTGCAGTTTTCTTGACCAGCTTAGTGGAAGTGGTTTGCCCTTCTCTGCTTCCTAGGGCTGAATGAGAGAGACTGGCCCAATGTCACTCAGCTGGTTTTGTGTCCAAGGCAGGACTAAAACTTGGTTTCCTGGTTTCTATGTCAGTGCTGTTAACTACTATTAGTATACTGAATAGGCTCTCAAAATCATATTAATTTTTAATTACGTATGCATTTAATGATAGTTATTGGTATCCCTCCTATTTGTAGGTGGTTTCCAATCTATGTGTGTGTCTCTGTGTGTGCATATAAATAAAATATGTTATTTTTTTTTTTTAAAGGACTCTGTCCGGAATGCTCTTTCAAATTAAATTTTCATCACAGGTAATGCACCTTTCAATGAATATTATTATGGTTTGTCACACAGTCAGCCAGATGTTTAAACTAGATTTGGCATGTTGATCTATCAAGTGCTTCCCAAGGACCTGGGATAAGAGGATGTTGTTGTTTGATGATATTAAAGGAATTGTTTCAGGTTGCAAGTAAAGCTGCCTATTGCAATTGACTAATAGCGATTTCATCAGTGCCGATGTTTACAAATGATTCTCCTGATGTTTTAGGATTGCACCCAAGGCATCTATTACTTATTATTTTGTACACAAAAATGTGAAATCACAGCTGCCAGTTCTTTAGCTAGTGTTGGCCTTCTTATGCATTGTGTATGTTGTACTATATCAGTGCAGTATATAATGCAGTATATAAAACACCATGAACTTTTGTAGTTGACAAACAGAAATTCTGTCAATGCCCAGATTTTCTAATTGCCATCCAAGCTTTTCGGTAGGACACCCAGTGTGTCAATAACCATTGGGACCACCACTGCTGATTTATGCCATAATCTTTAACCTTTGGTTTTTAGATCTTGATATTATTTTTATATATACAACAATATGAAACCACACCTATCAAATTTTTAGCCAATCTTGGCCTTCATGTGCATTTAGTCCTTTACAAGAACCTAGGATGACATAATGTATCGGCATAGTATATGAACAGTTCCCAGCTGCCTGGCCTGGCCTTTTGTTATTAATACTGTTACCATTTACTATTTAAATTTTATTTCCAGATATGTTTGATTACCACTTTAATAATCCTAGCTAGCATGAGTAAAAGGAGTGTACTTTAACATAGTTGTAAAACCACCCGCCACATTCATGAGTTCATCAAAGCCTGTCACTCCACAAGCGATTCCATCAACAGACACAGTGACCTACAACCAGCCTATGAACCCCTCAGAATCCAAATCAACTTCCCAGCCAATCAGAGACAGCATCGACCCTCTACCAACCCACGCAACTTTCCCACCCCCACCAGCAGTTCACCTCCCAATGTCCTTGACCTGATGTAACCTTCCTATCACAAGATCCATCACAAGATTCTTACTGATGACTCATAGCTGACTCATCACAAGACCCATCACAAGACCCTTACTTGACACATCCACACCTGAAGCCCTTATAACCAGCAGAACATTGGCATCCCCTAAACTCCGCTGAAGAGGTTACTTAGCCTGGTAACGAAACGTTCAGAAACCAACCCACAAACTTCACCGTCACAGTTGTAAAATGCCACATTAGCTAAGCCTTTGTTGAGTCCAAGGAACCAAGAACAACACGAAGTTACTTCAGAATAGTTTCTTTATTGTTGCTTGTCTACAGAAATCTTGCCAGACTAAAGAGCTTAGGTGCATAACAACTAGATACATCCTGTGAACTGCTGGGGGAGTCCTCCGTCCTCTTCCTGCCTCCCAGACATCCCCAGTGTCTTTGTTTCTTGGCCCTCTGAGCTCCTTCCTCCTCTGACTGTGGCCCGTTTTCTACCACATCCTGTTTTGTATTGCCAACCTATCTATTATTGCTGCATAATTTAAGGAAAACTAGTAGAGAACTTACCTGAAAGATAAGCAGAGCCTTTATTTCTATTGCCTTATTACTTGATTGGTAACATCATTACAATTCATTCATCCATTCATGTTTTAAGAAGCAAATTAGTATCTTTAATACCAATTTATCAGAGAAATTGTGTGTAGGTAGCCGTTGCTTGCTCATGAAATAGAAATAACACAAGTGCACAAGCTTGCCTGTATGTGTATAATCTCTAATTGTATAAGGACAATAATTTTTGTGGTTAGTAAGTAGTCTTTTTTTTCAACATAGTATCAGATTGACAGATACCAGGGCCCTGTTTCCTCCCCAAAAGACTAAGTGCTAGCATTTCCAGACATTTTTGAGGTTAAAATTCAGTAAATTCTGCTTTAGAATCAACGTGGCACATATCAGTTCAATTGAAATCAGATACTTTTTGAAAGAAAGATTGGATTACATTTATCTTTAATACAAGCAGAGAAAAGTGTATATTCCTTATTCTAATTTTGTGCAGGCTAGAAACAAAATTTGGACAGTTTAAAAAATTCATATTTAAATTATCATCTAGAGAAGGTTGATTTATTATATGCAAATGTATTAAAATTATTATATAACCCATTTTAATACATTTTTTAAGCTGGACGGACATGTTATTTATTTCTTCTTATAAAGGAAAAGGGAGGTCAAACCAGGAAAGAAGCAAGACAGCAAAGAACAAAGCTCGGAAATTTTAAAGGGTAAAAAGTCAAGAGCATCTTCACCACACAGGCACAAGGCAAAGAAAAAAAAGACCCATGAAGGTAAAAAGAAAATTTCAAGATTTAAGATTACCTTTAGGCTCACAATTAACTAAATAACAGGTGCAATTTACATTTTATAAAATAGGGATATCTGACTCTGAGGTTACAATTTAAATTTAGATATAAGACAATACAGATAGTCCTTGACTTACAACTGGTTGCTTAATGACCATTCAGAGTTATGATGAACTTCAAAAGAGTTACTTACGACCCATCCTCAGAGTTATGACTGCTGCCTCCCCCCTCCCCTCATTACGTGATCGCGTTTCAAGCACTTGGAAACCAGCTCACATTTACAAGTAAAAAACTCCCATTGGATATGCTGGATTTGCTTAACAACTGCGTATTCGCTTAACAACCATGATGACTTGCTTTTTGACCATAATAGAAACAGTTGTAAAATCGAATCCACTTATGCGGTACCTCAACTTATGACCACAATGATTTATGAAACTCTGGGTTCTATAGTTATCATCAATTGAGGAGCACTTGATGGAACGCAAATGTAAAGTAATTATTTCTGAAATGATTTGTTTTTTAGGTCCAGCATCATTGGAAGAATCGAACAAAACTGATGAAGGTTAGTAGTAAAAAAATTGTAGGAAATCATTTCTGTTCAGTAAAGAAACTTGTAGAATCATCTAAATATGCGAAGCAGGAAAAAAAGGAGCTAATCTGGAGAAAAACATCATAGAAGGAAGAAATGTATTGTTATAGAACCGTGATGGCACGTGTGCCGGAGGTGGCACGCAGAGCCGTCTCTGTGGGCATGCGCACCATTGCCAGCTGCTCTTCCAGGTTCCGTCACGCCAGCTGGTCTTTGCGCGAAGACCAGCTGGCCGGCGTGCATGCGTGCACTGGAACCCAGAAGAGAGCAGTTGGCAATGGTGCGCATGCACAACAGACCAGCTGGCTGGTGTTCATGCACGTGACAGAACCCCGAAGAGTAGCTGGCCGCTGCACGCATGTGCACTGTCCAGCTGCTTTCTTCCAGGTTCCTGTGTTCCGGTGCATGTATGTGCGCTCCAGTTTTGGCACTCAGTGCCAAAAAGGTTAACCGTCACTGCTATAGAATGTAATTAGGAGGCAGACCGATTTCTGAGATCCATTTATCAAGGTTTCAGCTTGAATACCTTAAAATACAGTCCCTTTTGCTATATAACAAACACCTGAAATGAAAATGACTTTCTAAAGCAGATGGTTACCTGAAATGCGGACCTGTTAAGTAAATAAAAGGCTGATATATATTAAAGTTACACATTATTTGGAGACGAGGACACAAATACATGTTTAAATTTGTATTCGTTTTAATGAAATCAGTTGTGTCCAGAAAATCTTACCTGAAGACTTACCTTTATTATAAAGGGCTAGTTTGGTCAAAAGAAGTATGAGAGATATCATTCAAAATGTGGTAAAGCCACAACACTACAATATTAAACTGTGGGTCTGTACATGGGTGCTAGCCTTACTTCCTAGTGCCTATATGGTGTGTCCCAGTGGTGAAATCTAAAATTTGTTACTACCAGTTCTGTGGGCGTAGCTTGGTGGGGGGGTTAATGTGACTGGGTAGGCGTGGCCAATTTTTTTTTCTTTTAAAACCATTTTTTCTACAACCTCTTTGGCGAAGAGGTTGTAAAAAATGCTTTCAAAAGGCTCTGACGATCCCAGCTGACTTGCCTGATCGGCAGAGGCTTTTTTTCTTTTAAAAGCCTCTGCCGATCAGGCAACTCAGCTTGGATCGTCAGAGGCTTTTAAAAGAAAAAAAAACCTCTGCCAATCCCTTTGATGATCCCAGCTGAGCCGTGCGATCATCAGAGGCTTTTTTTTTTTACTTTTAAAAGCATTTTTTTGGCTGAAGAGGTTGTAGAAAAAATGCTTTTAAAAATTAAAAGAAAAAGCCTCTGATGATTGTGTGGCTCAGCTGGGCATGGGGGGGGGACAGGAATTTTTGCTACCGGTTCTCTGAACCACCCACCGCCATCGCTACTGGATCAGGTGATCCGGTCCGAACTGGGAGCATTTCACCCCTGGTGTGTCCCTGCAGTTTTCTTGGCAACATTTACAGAAGTGGTTTACTGTTACCTCCTTCCTGAGGTTGAGAGGATATAACTGGCCCAGCTGGCTTTGTGCTAGATGAGGGACTCACGGTCTGCGTTTATAACCGTTTACCACTACACAAAACCCTTCTTAATATAGGACAAAAAAAGGGGTGTATCTATGATCATGTTTTTTATATCCCCGATTTGTCATCGCTAAAAATGATAACTCCAATGGATAGTGATCAGGAATATCTGCTTAACTAAATTATGTATGAATTATTCCCCATTTTATTTTTATGCTTTTTAAAAAAATGTGTTAAAGAAGTCTAGCTCAAAATGTGAAAATGCTCTTAAAATCCTTTTACTTTAAACATTGTTATCTTGTTTAACAGACTCAGATGGTGTTGATCAGGAAGATGGTCCCTCTGAGGCAGATTTCTGGAGGGGTCCACCACAGGATGCAGAAGAAAAAACAAGGTCTGTCCTGTGACCCTCCTTAAACTTTATCTAAACAGAAATTTTAATTAAGAAGCAAAAGCATTGTTTTTTATTTTTATAGACACACACACATAAAGTACCGGCATATAGGTACTGTATCCATACAGTCTCTCCCTCCCTCTCTCTCTCTCTCTCTCTCCCTCCCTCCCTCCCTCTCTCCCGCTCTCCCTCTCTCTCTCAGAAGTAAAAATACGAGAGAAATACATATGTACTTAAATAATTGCTTTAGATAATTATATATAGAATTTTAACTATTTATAGCTAAACTGATCCATTATACCCTTTTCTTTTGTTGCATTCTTTCACCTAAAAAAACACTATGCGTTTTCTTTACTTTGATAACACACATATTTTTATCTTTGTGATTTTTTGCTGTTTCTCGGTCATTATTTTAAAAGCAATAATTTTTTTAAAAAAAATTAGTAAGCTTGTCTAAGATGATTACATTTCAGAGAAAAACTACTTTTGAAGGAAGATAGGCACTTAGCTTGAGAATGTACAAAATAAAGAGCTCTGGTGGCTCAGCAGATTAATTAACATCCACTTACATCTGCTGCCTGCAATTACTGCAAGTTCAAATCTCACCAGGCTCAAGGTTGACTCAGCCTTCCATCCTTTCTAAGGTAGGTAAAATGAGGACCCAGATTATGGTGGCAATTCGCTGATTTTGTATAAATATACAAAAGTATGAAGGCTATTGCTTAACGCATTATAAGCCACCCTGAGTCTCCGGAGAAGGGCGGCATATATATCAATTTTTTAAAAAAACCCAAGCCTTATAGCCGCTCTTATATAGATTATGTATTATTATAATTATGTAATATAATTATGTATTATTCATTGTATATGGAAGATTGGATGGGTTAGTTTTTTATTCTCAGTTTGATCTGTGCTAGGATTCCTTTATTTCGTTCTTCACAATTCTAGAAAACTCAAAAGAACAAAAACTTCTTCCTTGCTAGTTAATCTCCAGAGCAGGGATTGCTTTTGCTCATGGATATACTTACTTACTTACTTACTTACTTACTTACTTACTAACTTATTTACTTACTACCCTTACCTTACTAGAAGTAGAAAGGATAGTTTGCAGTGAATACATTTTGACCTAATGAGAAACCCCTAAAGCTTGAGTTGCCTAGTCAGATAAATATTGTCAGCATACCCTTGATGGTATATCTGTAAAATGTGGAACCTTTGCTGAAAAGCATTCCCTGCACGTATAAAACAATATAGTCTTGTTCTGATTCAATAACTCATGTTACGTATTTCCTTTATTTTATAGGGAGGAAGAATTTGATGAATACTTTCAAGACTTGTTTCTCTGAAATGAGGTCTCCAAATCTGAAATTTGTTTCTTCATACTCCTCAAAATCTGTAAATAAAAAGCAGTTTTTCACATTTCATTCGCAATATTTTTTTAAAAATATGTTTAAATTATCCTCTGTGTCTCTTTCACATCGACCCATAAGTGTTAGTTTAAATTAAAACTTTGGGTAGGAGTTTTTATTTTTAATCATGCCAAGTTTTAAAAATTATAATCAGATGTAATTCAGAGTTTCAGTAAGATTCAGTATTACTGATGATGAAAAGAGAATCAGTTTAGAGAAGCTTATGTTAGCTAAAAAGGCAAAAGGATGATCTGAAGCTTAGTGAAAAACCAGAAATTGAAATCCAGTCATTAATAAATACAGTAAGCATTTTAAACACATATGTAGAAATGGAAATTGGTTTAGATAAATCTACTACAGGAACAATAAATTGGGGTAAAGTCATAAACAGAAATAGAACTTGTTAAGGATATTGTTGTGTTACCAACCAGCAGAGTAAGTGCACAGAGAAACGGTACTGAGAGCAATGAATATAATACATACAAACTGGTTTAACAAAGCTTTTACTTTGTAGTGAAAAACAATTGCATAGTCTTTTAGTCAATCCAAGTCTTTAGCCATTCAAATCAGTCCGAAGTTACCAGACAAACAGCAGTCGGTAATAAACAGCAATTCACGCTGGTAACAAATCACGATGGTAGCATATCCATCCACGTCTTCACACGACAGTAACAGTTCCAATCAACAGTTCCAGTCAAGCAGCAAGTCAAGCAATGATGAGAGCAGGTCCAACAATGACTATAGCTCGGCTTCCTTCTTATATACAGTTTACACTAGTAATTATCCACTTAAGATAAGTGAAGTCAGCAGTGCAATGACTCAACAGTACAATTATGATAATTGCAGTCAGCAGTCACTCAGCAGTCATTAGTCATTACAATGACTCAGCAGTACAATTACTCAGCATTACATTTAAAGTTACAGAATACATTTAAAGTTATAGCACACATATATTGCCTGGACAACTTGTTAGGTTTATACCATATCCTAACAGAACTGAAATGCCAAATGACCAAACCATCAAGAAGGAACAGGATGAAACCTACCAGTATCTGGGTATTTTATAGCTGAATAATATCAAGCATGGGCAAGTTAAAAATGTGAATAGTAAAGAATGCATGCAAAGATTGAGAAAACTGCTAAAGACAAAATTGAATGGTGAAAATGCTATCAAAGCCATCAATACCTGGGTCATAACTTTGATGTGATAACACTGCCTGACTAATTAACTGGACACCAACTGAAATGGACAGTTGGGACCAAATAACAAGAAAACTAATGAATATTCACTATAAATTACATCCTTATAGATTATATATCTTCTTCACAAAAATAGAGGCAGAGGTTTATTTCAAGACAAACAAATTTTGATAGAAGAAAAAGCATTCATTGACTGATTATGTAAAAGACAGCCAGGAACAAGTATTGATGCAAATTAAAAGTTGGAACTTATTGAATGTACAGGAAACAAAACATAGAATGTTGAAATGGTGTAATAAAAATAAGCAGAATGCCATTACATGATTAATTTCTACAAAAAATCGAGGGGAAGTTGGATATAAATAAAACTTGGCAATGGCTTACAATTAGAACATTTATAAAAGTATCTCAGGCCCCGAATTTGACAGCTCAAGACGAAATTATTTGAACTAATTCAATCAAAGCCAGAGATGAAAAATCATCAAGTGATTTGAAGTGCAGATTGTTCAAAGAAGCAGAAGAAACTGTATATCTTATACTTGGCTTGTCTAAGAAGATTAATTATAAACAACAATATAACATTGTCACCAACATGATTCATTTGGAATATCTGTAAAAATTATCATGTGCCAGCAATGAAAAATGGTAGGATCATATGGTTGAAAAAGTAGTCATAGATATACAGGTTAAAATATTGTGAAATTTCTGAATAAAAACAAATACAGTCTTGACACTTAACACACAGATTTAACTCATTGAAAAGAAGAAAGTGTGGATAATCGATGTGGCAATACCAGGAGATAGTAGAATAGAAAATAAAGAATTAGAGAAGAAAAAAAAAGAATTGAGAACTACAAATTGAAATGGAAAAATTACTGCATAAACTAGCTGTGATGGTCTCAGTGATTATCAGACACTGGGTGTCAAATCAAAAGTGTTAAATAGCCTTTAGAAAATAGGCACACTGACAAATTTTCCTTCTGTGAATTACAAAAGGCCACACTGCTTAAGATGCACATTGCCAATGCATTATGATACCCTAGGTTTTGGGGAAGAACTCAGTGCATAAGAAGGCCAATACCAGCAATTCCAGAAATGTGATTTCACATTGTGAATTATAATAACAGAATAACAGATTTGGACAGGTCCTTATAGATCATCCAGGCCAAACCCCCCATCCAGGAGGTGCAGGAGATCCTACACCATTTCTGACAGATGGCAATCCAGTCTCTTTTTGAAAGCTTTCAATGATGAAGCTCCTACAACTTTTGAAGGCAACTTCTGTTCCATTGGTTGATTGTTCTAACTGTCAGAAAATTTCTTCTTATTTCCAGGTTGAATCTCTCCTTGTTCAGTTTCCATCCATTATTCCTTGCCTGGCCTTCAGGTGCTTTGGAAAATAACTTGACCCCCTCCTCTCTGTGGCAGCCCCTCAAATATAGGAACACTGCTATCATCTCTCCCCTGGTCCTTCTCTTCACTACACTATCCATTACCAGTTCCTGTAACCCATTCTTCATATGTTTTAGCTTCCAGTCCCCTAATAATAGTAATAAACAATCAGAATTATTCCCATCAACCTTTTTAAAAAATCTATAAATAAGTCTATAAATACCGGTACCTTTTTTTGCTAGTATCCACCATATTTCCAGTTCCCTTTTCCTCAGGTGAATATGCTTCTTTCTTTTGATTGTCTCCTCTGGTTTCTCAGCAATTCTGTGTTGGCTATCATTGTACTGGCAGTCAGCCACCTGAGTTTGCCATTAAACGGGGGGGTGATTAATACTGCTGGGCAGCATTTCAGTCTTGAAGGCAAACCAATGCTTCATGGGAAGGCTAGGGGGCAAATCACAACTGTATCTTTCCTGGAAACTTTGGAAACCTTTCCAAGCATAAACCTTGGAAAGATGTGACTTCCTGGAGAGAGATGGCAAACTGAAGATGTCTCGGCAAAAGTGAAGCTGACAACTACAGCAAAATCTAGGGGTTACTTTCCTTGTTCTATCGCTGATGTGAAGCCCATCTTTTGAATGCTTTGCACAGCCCTAGTATCTTGAGCAAAGTGAGATGAAGTGCTTTCATTACACTTGAAATCAACGTAGGGCACATCTGTGAACATAAAATGGTATTCAAAGAAAGGTGACTATCACTTTAAAAGCTAACAGTTGAATGTGCCATCTAATCAGATTCTTGATTCCATCCTTGTTGTAGAATGCAGAACTTGGATGAATGTTCAAATATCTCACTCCGTGCAGAGAAAACCACAGATAAAGTTGGCTATTGAAGAACCCTTAGCAAATTAACAAGGCAGTAAACGATACTTTAGCCCTAAGAAGGGAGAGAGGGTGAGAAATAGACTTGAGAATAACTTCACTTTGATTCTGTATGGGGTAATAAGGGGCAGAGAGAAACCTTGGCAAATGGTTGATGATATACCCTACAAGAAGTAAAGTGGCATTGCGGACTTTGTTTCTTCACCCAGATTCTCAAAGGACTGACTCTCAAAGTGCTACTTAAAGTAAACTGCATTTTTCACAGAAGTAAGGGTGCATGCATACAGGAGTAAGGGTGAAACAAGGCTAAACTAGGATGTCCTCAAACGGCAAAGAAAGGTAGTCTTCTTTGAGAGATTCTTTACATAAGAAGATGGATTTAAAGGTTAATTCTTTGACATGTTGCAAGATGGCAGTCAAATCCAATAAGTGGCAGCCCGTATACATCTATCTAACTGGTCTTTCAAGAGCTTTACAAGAGCTGTTTACGATAGCTGCTCATCCAAACCCTATTAAACATCTGTCTGTTTTGGAAGCTAACTTTCTTGTAGAACTTTGTAGTGCAGTTATTGAAACACATCTGCACCTGCTGATCTAATTCAATCATGTACAAGCAAATATCCTCTTGTATCTATATTTTGTAAAGAAAAACATGGATATTTATATCTTGGCTCCATTTTAGTTTTACATTTCTACATTTAGTTCTACATTTAGTTCTACTTACGGGACCGCCTACTACCACAAACAGCCTCCCACCGGCCAGTACGCTCTCATAGAGAGGGGCTCCTCCGGGTGCCGTCAGCCAAGCAGTGTTGACTGGCAGCCCCCAGGGGGAGGGCCTTCTCTGTGGGGGCACCCACTATCTGGAACGAGCTCCCCCCGGAGATACGGAGGATCCCGGATCTGCGCACTTTCCGCCGTGCTCTTAAGACCCTCTTATTTCAGCAAGCTGGCCTGGCCTAATTTTTCTCCCCTTTCTTTTAAATTTTTAAACTGAAATTTTAATTTGTTTTTAAATTATTGGGATTTTAAATTGTCGTGGGCTAAATTATTTAATTTGGTTTTAAATTGTTTCTAACTTTTGTATTTCTGTATTTTATCCTGTGCCTGTTCACCGCCCTGAGTCTTTCTGGAGTAGGGCAAATTTATTTATTACAAATTTAATAAAACATAAAACATAAAACATTATACAGTTATCTTGTGCCAGCCACCTAGAATCATTAGATGAGGCAGCTTACAAATAAAGGAACGAACGAATGAAATAAGTATAGAGCTACAACAGCAATAAATTAATGGAACAGGCCTATAACCTGGTTACCCATGGTCATTATCTTTAAAATATACAGGAAACATTTAGCTGCCCATCGTGAAAGGGGAAAATAATTCCATCTTTATTCGAAAGGACATGTTCTATATTTCAAGATAGAAAAACAAAATGGCAGAACTGTTAGGTATTACCATGCTTGGGTAGTCTTATCATTTCTGTAACCTTGTTTATATTGGGAGACTTATTACAGAGCAGATCGTAATGAAATTTCTCTCCATTGCCCTGTTGTCTTAAGCTGCCTCTGAAAATGATCCATCCATTTAGATTGGGTGATGAATTCAATCAATATGGAGACATAAAAATCCAATATTAGATTTCATGAGCAGGCAGCTAATAACGGTTAGCAGGTTTTCCCATTCTTTTTAGTTTTGGGAAAGACAAATTACCACTGAAAAACTTCCAGCTTGTAATTTTCCATTTGGATTGTTTTAAACACCCCTTAATGTGGAAATAATGTGTAATTACTATCAAAGAGACAATTATATACAGTAGATATAATTATAAAAGATATAATTCATTTGCCTGAGTCAATACAACATTTATAGGCTAAACTGAAAAATCAACCAAAATACTTTTATGGCTTGTTTGCAGCATCCCCCATTCACACAACCATGATTTGCAATGTTTTTTGTCAGTTTCTGGCATTACTTCCAGTTTTTGGCAAAAATGCTGATTGTGAAAAATGGATTCACTTAACAATCACAGTTAACAACCACTGCAATATATATATATATATCAGAACACAGCCAAGTTCCCACCCAATCAGCTCACATCCCCACTAGCAGTTAAAAGGAAGAGACAGCTGTGATCTCACATTGCTCCTGGAAGCACGAAGCCGAGAACACCAGCCTGAAGATGACGAATGAGACTTCGTCGAAACATCGCCAAGACCCTTCCAATTTTACGTGGGAGAAGACCCGAATAACCAAAGACCTACATACAAACACCCGCGAAAACCTGAGAAAACAAATAGATAGATAGATAGATAGATAGATAGATAGATAGATAGATAGATAGGTAGGTAGGTAGGTAGGTAGGTAGGTAGGTAGGTAGGTAGATAGATAGATACATACATACACACACACACACACACACACACATATATATATATAAAATGAGGTCTGATTGTGTGATGCCTCGACTTACGAGTACAATGACTTACAACCATAATTCCAGGCTCAATGACGGTCGTAAATTGAACACTCTCTGTATTAGAATCCTTTTGCTGGCTTTAGATATATTTTTTGAAGTAAACCTGTTTCTAGCTAAAAATAGAACTTTCAAAATGACATGAGCTATAACTTTATTGGTAATAGTAAAAGTATAAGAACAGCAATTATTCCAGGGGAAGTAACTAAACATAATATAAAACTTACTTCTGTGCATTAATAATTACAGTGCTACAATTGCAGTGCTCTGTATTGTGCAGTACAGAATTTTATCATATGAAATTAAGTGAAAGTTGTGTAAATTATAGTTTCCTGAAAGTTCACAGGGTTTAATATATTAAATAAAGACTGTTAATTGAGAATAGCAGCAACCAAGAAATGAGTCCACAATCACTTTTGACAAAGTAATCTCAGGTTATCCATTTCTTTAAAATGTTCCACTTTCCTTTGGTGAAAATGTTCCATTTCCATTGTAGATGAATAAAGACTGAACAGTTTATGCTCCATTAGATTGACAGAAATCCTTGACCTCACTGAAAATGTTGATAGATTTCTTGATTGTAGCAGAAATGCTCTTGCATTTAATTATAAAATTACACATGTTTTTGATTTGCCATCTGCTGATTCTCCATTTCCAGCATCTTCTTCTAATAAAATGCAAAAAAATAGGTATAAATATGCATGCATTTTAATTTTTGAAGTGGTTTATTGGTGTGTACCTTAGCATCAGAAGAATCATCTATCATTTGAAAGTTCAACCCATTTTCACTTCTGACAACATTGGAATGCACTCTGGTGCAATTTTTCCATTATAACAAATTATTAATTATCAGATGTATAAAACATAATGCAACAGGTCTCAGTGGACATTTTGGAACATAAAATTAAGTGATAGGGTAATATAATCCTATTTAGTACTGGACCAATATAAACTTTTCTCTTAGTTGATTTGAAATGATTACACCAGATTGTATTTGTTATGCTTTTTTTTTTCCATGATAAATAGTTCTTTTCTGATTTACTTACATTAGCATTACCAACATTAGAATTAAACTTAAATTTGAAGACTGGGAATCACTATGTTACTATGTTATTTTTGTTCCTTTTCATCTGTATGGAAACTTGATCCATGACCTATCTGCTGAAATGCTGAAGTATAATTAACAGTATAATTTTCACTTGAATTTTGAGGTGTTTTACTTAATTTATTTTTCTCCCAAACTTCCTGTTGTAATGGTCCATTCAACTGTATTTTATTTATTTTTAAAGAGTGTGCATTGCACAACATAATTACGGTACATTAACAGCAAGAAGCATGGCTGTTTTCATCCTATTTGGGCCTTATCAGGTGTGGGTAGCCTAATGTTATTCTGTGGGGTTCAAACCGACTACCAGGAAATAAACCTTTAGATAACTAATATATATACGGGGCATTAACTTTAGCAGATGCGTAGAACCTGCTACTCAGTAGTTGAAGAAAGGAATATACAGTATGGAAGCTATCAAAATAGTACATATAGTACATATCAGCCTTTCTCAACTGGGGTTCTCAGAAAGGTTGCTAGATATTCCACAAAAGATGGGGGGGGAGGATTTAATGACAAGCCTTGGACAATGCTAGTGTTGAATTTCTACATTCTCCAACTCAGCTATCAGCCTATCATTTTAATCTAACACCAATTATATATCAGCAAAGTAGAAATATAATTGGAGATCATGCCCAGGGAAATAATGTACTTCAGAAAAACATCATCTACTCATAACAAAAAGAGATATAAGTGAATTGATGATTTCTTACTGGTGGCTGATTTATACTTCCAAAGTAAACAAATAGAGCTACTTATGAGAAAGCCTTGGTTGGATTGGGGCCACTGGATTTTTCATGAGTGTCATTAACAGCCTGAAAAATGTCAAAGTAAATTACAGCCATTGTTATGGAGATCCAATCGCATGTTCAGGATAGTCTGGATTGTGGCCTCAAACATGTGCAAGATAGAGCAAAAAAATAAAAAAATGAAAATGAAATATTAAAAAAACCTGTAGTAGCACAAATTGGAATTAATTCAGCAAGCCCATTCTCATTAAATCATACCATGTTCATAGTTTTAAGTTCCACAACCTTAAACCCAGACTAATTTAGAATTTTAACTTTTTGAACTTCGAAAGCTGACTGATTCAAAATGGTTAACATATAACATTTTTCAGCTGTGATTTATTTAAGTATGATATTGGTAAAAATACAGTGGTTCAAAATTGGTATACCTTATTTCTGTAGTTTTGGTTTGTCTGCACTCTTTTTTTAATTTGCTGCTTTACTGTCCCTCTAAAATATACTATATTAGGATTGCATTCAGATGGATTCTCCCCAAAGTGAATTAGTATTTTCTTTCCTTCCTTCCTTCCTTCCTTCCTTCCTTCCTTCCTTCCTTCCTTCCTTCCTTCCTTCCT